TCCGGTAGATTTACACACAAGAATAGAACGTCTTGCATAGAAACAAAAACAATCATTGTGCACACAATCCACCTATACTGGAGTACCGTTATTTCGCAACATTTTGTGAGGCCACAATATCAATGTAATATGTGATTATACGGTTGAGCGAGTTAACGAGATTTGAACCTGTCTGGTTTCGCTTGCCTCGCTTTTAAAAGTCGTGGGTTCGTTTCACGACTGCGTCGTTTATCTCACAAGTGCAGTTTTTACGGGGATCCCTGGGGATCTTCACCGGAGCTACGCAGTTCGTGCTTTGTGCAATGCACTCTGCAAACGGCTAGCCGTTCTGTGGAAGGAGACCAAGCCATATGGGATAAAACCTGATGCAATGAAATCGATCCTCTCGACTTTAACCTTTAACCTTTTAACGTTTTCACCCTTGAGATGTTAATCCCACAGACTGCAATTTTAGAAAGGGGGCTGAGCGGGATGGTTTGTAAAAGTACAGATCACTAATTGACAACCTCACCAGTATAGGACTATGAGTTACACACATCAGGCTCGTGTGGCCGTTAAAGGTGCCCAAATTGTAGCTTCTGTGGAGGTTGAATAGGGTATCTGAAATTTGACCTTTGGCTTTCTATGCAGACTGAGCTTTATCTTATTCTAATGTGTTTAAACCTTCACGGGTTCTAGAGAGACAGTAAATAAAAAGAAAATTGCTGGAATAAAAATGGCAAGCGAAATAGTTATGCCACATTAAACAATACAACAGTATAATTAACACTCTCAGAAAACCATATTGTTATTGAGGATAGGGAAAAAACCTTAAGATTGGAGAGCAAGAGGTGGACAGCGATACAAGAGGGTGGGGGGGGGGGTGAACAGCAGTTTGAGAGAGTGAATACCCAATACACTTTTCAAGGAAAACACAAGGAATTATGGAGATAACAAACAAGCAGTAAACATCCACAAGACCAATCAGCAGACAACAGAAAGCAACATACAATCATTTTCAGTCTACGAACAGGACACCACAGGCTCAACTACCACTTGCATAAAGTAAAGAGTGACAGCCCCCACAGTGTAGATGGCTGACAGGACCACAAACACCTGAGCACATTCTGCAGACCTGCCCACTCTACCCACACACACAAAAAACTGGCCCCAAAAGCAAATGGCGCACAGTAGGCTGTGGGAAACCACGAAAGGCGTGCTGCCGATATGCGAGTTTATAGAGGCAATCCACCTGACGGTCTGATCTGAGCATAAGAAACAGAACGCAAAGAAGAAGATGAAGAAGAAGAAGAAGAAAAGGATGATGATGATAAAGAAAAAGAAGAAGAAGAAGAAGAATCAAAAGAACACCTAAGGCGAGAGGCAAAGCGTATTGATTATCCATTTTAGCCAATATTGACATGTGGAGACGACATATATTTTATTGGTTTAAATATTAACCTAGCTCACGTCCGAGTTTTAATTTATTACAAGGAACTTGGCTTCAACTGACACAGTTGATAATACAAGTGCCAAAAAAAAAAAAGCAGAGGAAAAAATACACGTATTGCTTAGCCATTATATATGGGGTGGGAGGGGTGTAAGCGAGACATAAACACTGCCTTGATCTGTTTTAATAAGGTGATCAATTGGGATGGCGTAACATGATAGCGCCGCCTTTTCGTCAGGGCACATGGTAATGTTGGTGATTACGTCCCCTGGTGTCCTGCCGGAAGTCGGCGACTTGAGGAATCTCAGACCTGGCAACATTTTCTGCGAAATTAAGCCTTCAACCAGGGATGATTCACGGACAGCTGGCTTGTCTTGTTTATGTACACTGCCAAGTAAATTGCTACTTTTTTGTTGTATATCTACTGTTTAATTTAAACAGGCTCCTCGGACAAAAAGAATAAATAATATTATATTCGTTCTTCTTAATTTTGTCTGACTGATTTACATTTACTTCAGTCATCACGACTCATTATTATTACAATTTATAATAATAATAACAACAGTGATTACATTTACACTTGATTACTGGAATCCGATTACACATTACAAGAAATTACGTACAGTGAATGTTATGGCAGGTCAGTGAAGTTCAATACTTACTTTTACTTTTTCCTTCCACGTATGCCGCTAAGCGTTGTGGGGAGATGCAAGTTCCTGTCATAAGCAAGGCGGGCAGCATCTGATGTTCTGAGGCCATGCTTTTGGCAGGTTTCGGAGACCCCGTCAATCCACCGTTTCCTTGGTCTTCCTCTTGCCTTATATCCTGAGCTTCTTTGGTTGAAAATTTGTGATGTTATTTGATCATTTTCATCCTGGTTAGATGTCCAAACCATTTCATTCTTTGATGTTCTATGTAGTCTAAACATGGCGTAGTTTTGACAGTGTTTCTGATGTCTATATTCTTTATCCTGTCTAGTCTGGTCTTATTCGCTGCTTTTCTTAGACATTTCATTTCACAGGCTTCTATTTTTCTTTCATGGGTCTTGTTGATTGTCCATGTTTGGCACTGGTAGCAGAGTGTTGGAATGAAGATGGTGTTTATCAATTGTCTTTTGGTCTTCATGGGTATATCTGGATGTTTAAGCAGAGGTGATAGTTGGTATGTGACAGCATTTGCTTTCTGTATTCTTATTTCTATCTCTCTGTCCATTCTTCCATCCTCTGTAAATATACTGCCCAAGTATTTGAACTCTTTGGTTTGCTTGATTTTGGCACTTCCAACATTTATATTCAGTGGCCTGTGTGTTCTGCTGATCTTCATAACTTCTGTTTTTTCTGTACTGATTCTCATATTATGTTGTAAACAGCTGTTGTTGAGAGTAGTCAGATGTTCCTGTAGATCATATTCATTTTGATACAGTATGTTTTGATCATCAGCAAAAAGTAATTCGTTTATAGCATACACGTCTGGGTTTGCTTCTACAGTGATCTTATCCATGTATGTTATGAAAAGTAATGGTGACAGTACACATCCTTGTCTGACACCAGTTGTGACTTTGAACCATTCAGAAAGACCACTAGATGTTCTTACTGCACTTTCACTTTTTTCATAGAGGGCTCTGATGTTGTCTAATAATTGACCCTGCACTCCGTAATCGTCAAGAATTCTCCACAGCACATCTCTGTCTACACGGTCGAATGCCTTCTCTTGATCTACAAAGACCACGTTCAGCTCTTTATCGTATTCGAGTGTCTTTTCACAGACTTGTCTTAGTGCAAATATGGCATCAGTGCAACCTCGCCCTTTCCTGAAACCGAATTGTGCTTTACTCAGTAGAGGTTCAACCTTTGCTATTATCCTACCTTCTAAGATCTTTGCATACATTTTCCCCACATGACTTAGTAAAGATATTCCTCTATAAGTTCCACATTCTCTCTTGTTTCAATATGGGGTGATATTTATTGACACATTTCTGTATTTCTATATGGTAGTTGTGCTATAGGGAAGATCAGAAATGATTGATACCCCCCCCCCCCCAAAAAAAAAATTCAGCTATCCTCTGAATAACAATAACGGTCCCAAATTATCGAGGCCGAAAATATAGTATACCCTAACAGGGCCTTAGTCATATGTAACTGGCGGACTTCTGGCTACTGAAATTGCTGACTTTCGGCGACTTAAATTGCGGAATTCCGGGGACTATCGTCACCACCGAGAGTATCCCCCACACCACTACGCGCGGCATGGAGCGGGGCTATACTAGATAGCTGGTACTCACAAGCAGCAGCTACCGCATTTCCTGCAGCTTCCTTAATTTTATTTACTCGTCCCAGCCATCATTGTCCACGCGCGGCATGGGAGATACTCTCTGCGGTGGCGGTAGTCTCCAGAAGTCCGCAATTTACATGTGACTGAGTCCGTGTTAGGATTTATTTTCGGCCTCGATAATTTGGGACCGTTATTCGGAGGATAGCCATAAATTCTTTTTCAAAGTTGTTCCTCCCTTCCTCCAGTTAGCTCATCGAAGTGTTGGGAGAAAGTGTGAGCATCTTCTGTCTGCTTTTCCTAATGTGTTTACCTTCATTTCCTCAAGGCTGTTTTTGATGTCATCGTTCCATTTTTATGTGGTCTTCTTGTTACTCAGTGTCCTTACAGTTCTAGTTTTCTAATGTCTGGATTGTGTCTTGTTACTACAGCAGCTGTTGTATGACATCTTCTCTCTGAAGTTATCATACTGCGCTCATTAATTGTAGTAAGAGTACATGTCTGCACTGGGGGCATAAATCTGGCTAAAACAGGAAGAAAGCATCAAGTACAGTGCATGCGTTCCTTATATACGGCAGTAATTGTTGGAAATATTGTACTAAATTGTAGCATGGGGTACACAAAAATATTGTCACAACAGGAAATTAGAAGGGTAAAAAAGGTTAGGGGGAGAGGGGTGAGGAGCATTTTCTTGATCTTTTCTCTTGGATATGCCAGTGTGTTAGGAATTAACAGGCGGACAAACTCGCAGACTCTCTACAACTGGAAAATTGATGCATGATAAGGCAGACTTGGTTAGAGCCATGTGGGAGAGTGGTAGAGAGGAGCAAATGGATCACCAGTCTGGTAAGATCAGTGCAGCGGGGAGTGACAAGAGGTTCTGGCCGTTGCTTGATGCTAAGAGGAAAGGCAAGACGGGTGTTTAATCAGTATGCTACTGGCACCATTAGTATTAAAACTCTGCGCTGGCTGCTGAAGATGGGGACGGAGCGCTTATGGGAATGCCCCGAGTGCTGTGATGTCGGTTCTTGAATCAAATCAGTCAGTCAATCTGAATGGTAATGTTAAAGTCTTTGCAAAATGGTTTGCTACCAAATCGCCTACAGCTAACTTTGAACCCTAATTTATAGGAATTATGAAACTAGGTCCACAAACCTTAAGCACAGACTCAATTATGAGAAGCTGTTGTAAACAGTAAAAAAAGGCATGTTTCTGCATTTTATACAAACTACAACCATTTTAATTTGCTTTGTTTTCAGATCGCTTGCAATTTCCATCGCATGTGTCTGTCCTGAGTTTCTAAATGGTTGTGACTGATAACTTCCTGTTCCCGTCTTCTGCAATGATGAAGGTCAGAGTGACCAACATGAATGGTGTTGATTCGATTGTTGAAGTTGGTAAAGACTGGACATGTGACAAGGTCAGTTCACTCAACACATGACTTCACTCAACACATGACTTTCAACTGTTTTGTTTTGAAAGACTGTAACATGATTTATAAATAGTAATCCCTTAACAGCAGTCGGGACCTGCCGCGGTCTAGCCGCTAGACACTTGCCTGCTGATCAGAAAGTCGTGGGTTCGGTTCCTGACGGGGGCCGGACTTTTTTCAAAAATGACCTTGGCTCCCAGATCGACCCAGCCTTGAGTGGGTACCAGGTGCAGTCCTAGGAAGTAAAGGTGGCTGACTTAATACTAACCACATCATCCACCAAATGCTGTTTGGTCTATAAAGTATAGGTCTTACCCTTTATACCCAGTACGCCTGAAAGGCGGGGAAAAGGGTCCTTAATAGCAGTCAGACACAGTACCATGTTTGTATTTTTTAACTTTCTTTACTGCCTTTTGTGGATATTGTGGGGATGGAGAGTGCTAAGAAAGGACTTTCATTGAATATTCAGAAAACGGAAGTAATGGTTATGTCAAGGAAGAAGGTAACTCATACGTTGTATCTCAATTAAAGGAAAAAGACATAACCAATTCAATAAATTCAGATATCTGGGATAAATCAAATCATCAGATAGAAAATTTGTGACAGAGATTAAAAGCAGTATAGGTCATTTGAAAGCTGCATTTTAGAAAATGAAAAATATCTTATGCAATAAATTGCTCAAATTTAATGTCATTAAGAAGAATTTAGAAGCAGCTGAGATGTGGTTTCTGAGGCGAATGTTACGAATACTTTGGATGGCTAGAGAAACTAAGAATGATTGCTTGAAAGAGGCTAATAAAAGTAGATCTCTATATACAACAATAAGAAAGAGACAAACACTGTTCTTTGGCCACATAATGAGAAGAGAGAATTTGGAGATCATTGTGACAACTAGAAAGATCAGTGGAAAAAGGGGTAGAGGCAGACCAAGAGAGATGATGCTGGATGGACTGAAATGATGGCATGGAGGGATATCATCAAGAGAGTTGAACCAGGGATCATGATCTGTTCAGATGCAGGAATACCTTCGCCAGTTGGCAGATCACATGATGATGATGATGATTGCCTTTTTTAGGACAGTGTAGGATAGGAAATATTTGGAAGCAGCAGAGATGTGGTTCTGTAGACAGATGATGAGAATACCCTGGACAGATAAAAAGAGTATTCAAGATGTCTTGAAATGAACTGAAGAGAACTGATTGCCCACATCAAAAGAAGACAGAAGTACATCGTGTCGATGGGGAGAAGAAGATTTAAAACAGGCAGACAAAGACTGAGAGAGAAGATGCTGGACAGTTGAACATCATGGCAGGCAGGATCCTCTGTGTTAGGATTGATTGAAAGTACATGAACCAGATGGGTTGTGGATAAACATTAGATGTGACTACCAACACTACAGGGCATGGACTATAAGAAGGAGGTTTTCGAACCTGAGGATTTAGGGCCACATTCTAGTGCAGTCACCACAGACTGTGCATGCTAGGATGCTTTGTTTTTTTTGGGGGGCCCCAGACAGAACAATTTCCATTACCTTATGAAGGATTGTAACCTAGATCTCTGGCTTGAGAGCCTACTGTTCTAGCCACTCGGTCAGGTACTCCTCATGTGGGTGTAATTAGGCGTTTGTTGTCCAAGTTAACTTACCTGGTATGTTTGCAATCATTCTCGGGGTTTCATTTAGAATGAACATATTGGTCATTAAAAATAATTATGTGTTTTTTTTTCATTTTTTTTTTTAGTTTCAACTCTCTCTATCTCTCTCTCTCTATCTCTCTCTCTATCTCTCTCTCTCTCTCTCTCTCTCTCTCTCTCTCTCTCTCTCTCTCTCTCTCTCTCTCTCTCTGTCTCTTTCTGTCTGATACTACTCACAAAAGTCATCCCATTTCGTCGGCCGCAAGATTTTGTAGAGGTTCCCATATTAGGTTTTTAATGTGTGTGTTCGCATCCTATTTTTTTTTCACAATCTATTATGCCCTGGCACATTGTGTGTTGGGAGTCGCCGTGGCAGAGCGGCTAGACGCGCGCCACGGATCGGAAGGTCGTGGGTTCGCTCCCTGGCGGAGACGGACTTTTCTTAAAAATTGACCTTGGCTCCCAGGTCGACCCAGCCTTGAGTGGGTACCGGGTGCAATCCCGGGAAGTAGCGGCGGCCGGCGTGATGCTGACCACATCACCCATCTTGTGCCGTTGGTCTATAAAAATATAGGTCTAGCCCTATACGCCTAAAGGCGTGGATAGGGTCCTTTACTTACTTTACTTTACTTTACATTGTGTGTTTAAACTATTTTATCCATGATCCCTTTAATCATCTTCATTTTTTTTTTTTTAACTTTTGTTCTGCTTCCTAATTAATGAAGGCTAAGAGGAAACTACCACATTTCTATCCTGATAAACTTATGATGGAGGCCAAAAAGTTTGAAAAGCATTAAAAGTCAATGCTTAAAGGACCAGCAGGGAAATCACATCAGAAGTTGGAGAGAATGCATCTTTCACATCTGAAAGAGACAGTCATAATTTTTTGGTCATGTTCTGAGAAGAGAGAAAATGGAACATGTTGTGACCACTGGAAAGATGTGTGGAAAGAGACAGAGGAAGACAGTGGGAGAAGATTCTTGACAGTCTTTTGTCATAGCATGGAGGGGTGTTAATACATGAACTGATACACACAGTTGCAGATAACAGATTGTGGAGAGGCATGATCGGCAAGGCATTTGATGATGATGCATCTTCCCTGTAGCAACATATGGATGTGAGTCGTGGACTATCTCCCAGTCTTAAAGAAGAAACAAGGGGCTTTTGAGCTGAAATGCTATAAAAAGATTTTAAAAATACCATAGACAAAGAAGGACAGAAATACTGACACCCCAAAAGATCTGAACACCAAGGAAGATTGGTTAGTTAACAGCTTCTTGTCTCAAAGGCTGAAATATTTTGGCCATATCTAGCCCCATAGTGGATTGGAAAACATACTAGCAGAAGGCATGGTACCAGGAAGGAGGGGCAGGGGAGGATCTGCACAAAGATGGGCACAGGATATAAGTGACTACTTGGGTATCAAGATGCCCAAGGCCGGAAAGCTGGCGAAAGACCAAATTTCTTTCGGGCAGACCATGGATGAGAACAGCAATATGCAAAGTGCCTGCTACATAATGATAATGATGAATTACTTCTTTAAACTTCTTGCTGCTCATTTCATCACCATCCTCTCTTGACCTGAGCAAATATTTCACAAATATTTCAGTCTCCAGGCTTGTTATTGCTAAATATTCACATTTGATTATCATTTTATTGAACTGTTGCCACCAGGTAAAACTTGCTCTAGAACATCTACTAGATTTGCCTCCATCTCTGACTGGCCTGTCATCAGACGCACTGAAGAATTCATTGATGTTTCGGTTAGTCCTTGTGCGTACTGGGAAACCCCTGTCAGACGACAGCACTTTGGCACAACAGGGAGTCAGAGAAAATGGTAATAGCATTGAAAGTTTTTGAAGTTGCTTGTATGTTCTTTGGTTAAAATTGATTGTTCTCTTAGGTTGAAGTTGCTTATATGTTCATTGGTTAAAGTTGATTGTCTGCTCTTAGGTTGAAGTTGCTTGTGTATACTTTGGTTGAAGGTGATTGTATAGTTTTGATTGACATTGATTGAGTTTTATTTGATTGAAGTTTCTTTTGTGTTCTTTGATACAGATAACTTTAGGATTAACTTTTTTTTTTTTATGGGCTATGGTTGTCTCTTTGTTAGAGAAAATTGTGATTAAATAATCTGGATCTGGTGTTTTTGTAATTTGCCTAATTATTAAGATAAATAATTTAAAATGTATTGATTAGCTCTCACAGAAGAAGAGGAAAGAAATAGAGACAAAAAGAAAAGTTAGACAACATAGAAATATGAAGCTGTAGTGTACTAACCAGAGCTTTTACTTGATATCATTGTCCCCATCCTTAATTACAAAGTCCAGTGGCCCCTGAACCTTCTTCTTCTTTACATTCACCGGCAATAAACCAGCAGAAAGTTCTGGTTATTCTTCCACCTATTGACTTTTCCAGAACCATGGCTGTTGCGTGCACATCCATTTTACAGATCTTACTTATTTTATACAGACTGTTAGTCCCTTGCCTTTCAGGCAGATTCACTCCCATGTTAGTCTACTCTTAGGACATGCTTGTTAGTTAGGTAGTTGGTCTGTTCTTGTTTTCCCCACAATGAGGTCTGAGAACCCACTTGAAGCTGCTCCTGTACCACAGTCCAGACAATACACCACACAATTTAACAACTCATCACCTAGATTCAGAAGTCACTACAAAATTCATGTGCATCTTTACTAAGGTCCAGATGCTTTAAGACAAGACTCAGATGCCCCATTACCAAGATCATGTGTGTCCTTACAAGGTTCAAATACCTTAAGACAAGACTCACAGGTGCCCCATTACTAAGATCCTGTGTGTCCTTACAAGGTTCAAATACCTTAAGACAAGACTTAGGTGCCCCATTACCAAGATCCTGTGTGTCCTTACAAGGTCCAAATTCCTTAAGACAAGACTCAGGTGCCCCATTACCAAGATCCTGTGTGTCCTTACAAGGTCCAAATTCCTTAAGACAAGACTCAGGTGCCCCATTACCAAGATCATGTGTGTCCTTACAAGGTCCACACACCTTAAATCAAGATTCAGGTGCCCCATTACTAAGATCCTGTGTGTCCTTACAAGGTTCAAATAACTTAAGACAAGACTCAGGTGCCCCATTACCAAGATCATGTATGTCCTTACAAGGTCCAAATACCTTAAGACAAGACTCAGGTGCCCCATTACTAAGATCATGTGTGTCCTTACAAGGTCCAAGTACCTTAAGACAAGACTCAGGTGCCCCATTACCAAGATCATGTATGTCCTTACAAGATCCAAGTACCTTAAGACAAGACTCAGGTGCCCCATTACTAAGATCATGTGTGTCCTTACAAGGTCCAAGTACCTTAAGACAAGACTCAGGTGCCCTATTACCAAGATCCTGTGTGTCCTTACAAGGTCCAAGTACCTTAAGACAAGACTCGGGTGCCCCATTACTAAGATCATGTGTGTCCTGACAAGGTCCAAGTACCTTAAGACAAGACTCAGGTGCCCCATTACCAATATCCTGTGTGTCCTTACAAGGTCTGAATACCTTAAGACAAGACTCAGGTGTCCCATTACCAAGATCATGTGTGTCTTTCCAAGGTCCAAATACCTTGAGACAGGATTCAGGTGCCCCATTACCAAGATCCTGTGTGTCCTTACAAGGTTCAAATACTTTAAGACAATACTCACATGTGCCCCATTACCAAGATCCTGTGTGTCCTTACAAGGTTTAAGTACCTTCCCTCATTACCAAGATCATGTATGTCCTTACAAGGTCCACATACCTTAAATCAAGACTCATGTGTCCCATTACTAAGATCCTGTGTGTCCTTACAAGGTCCAAATACCTTAAGACAAGACTCACAGGTGCCCCATTACTAAGATCCTGTGTGTCCTTACAAGGTCCAAATACCTTAAGACAAGACTCACAGGTGCCCCATTACTAAGATCCTGTGTGTCCTTACAAGGTCCAAATACCTTAAGACAAGACTCACAGGTGCCCCATTACTAAGATCCTGTGTGTCCTTACAAGGTTCAGATACCTTAAGACAAGACTCACAGGTGCCCCATTACCAAGATCATGTGTGTCCTTACAAGGTTTAAGTACCTTAAGACAAGACTCAAGTCTTCATTACCAAGATCATGTGTGTCCTTACAAGGTTTAAGTACCTTAAGACAAGACTCAGATCCTCATTACCAAGATCATGTGTGTGATGATCATTGATTGATTCTTGAAATCTTTTCTTACTAGAAAAGGAGATGATCATTGATTTATTCTTGAAACCTTCTGTTAGTAGAATAGGAGATGATCCTTGATTGAATTTTGAAACCTTCCGGTACTAGAATAGATGATCCGTCACAAAAGTGGTCTTCTGGTATCAGGTTTATCAGAATCTCCAAATTATATAGTTATAATGAAAATAGACTGCTAAAGTGAAAATATTCCAGTTATACTAAAGTTTAGAATGAAACTGAAGACTATAAAAAAAAAGACCCCTACAGAACATTAAGTAAAATTTAGGAATACTTAAATCAGATGCAGAAATTAAGGAACAATACAGTGTCACCGTGCAAAACAGATATAGTGCAATTGAAATAATACAAATTATAGATGAACAGTGGGATATACTGCAGGAGTCAGTTTAGCAGACATCAAATGAGCTTATTCCTCCAACACAGAGAGTTGGGGAAAAAGAAATGCATGATAAATTAAATTCTGCAGATGATGGATCATAGAAGGAAGCAAAAGAATTATAATGAAGAATATTCTGGTATACATAAAAAAATAGTGAACACATGCAAAGAGGCTAAGGAAACCTGGCTAAATTAGATGTGCACAGAGATTGGGAAAAATCACATTCACATTCCATGCACCAATAGGTAAAAATATTAACAGGAAAGAAGAGATGCAACATTAGTGGTTGTTTAAAATCGAAAAAGTGAAATATTAATGGGGCAAAGTGACATAATTAACAGATTGACAGAGTACTTGGGGAAACTGTATGATGGTAATAGACCAGAAGTACATTTGCAGGACAACAGTGAAGGCCCTGCAATACTGGCTTCAGAAGTTGCGGATGTGTTACATCTCATGAAGAAAGGAAAGGCACCCGGGCCAGACAACATCACATTGGAAGAAATTGAAGCTTTGGAATATTTTGGAATTGAAATAATAACAAAATTGTTAAATGACATTTATAATTGTGATTCCATTTCTAATGACCTATTAAAATGATATTTATTGCTCTGCCAAAGAAACCAGGCACTTTAAAATGTGAAGACTATCGTACCATAAGTCTTATGAGTCATGTGACAAAAATGTTACTGAGAATAATTATGAGAAGAATACGAGACAAGATTATACCAGAAATTAGTGAAGAACAATGTGGATTTGTGAAAGGAAAAGGTACTAACAATGCCATATACATTCTCAGAACTCTTTCAGAAATAACTGACTATACAAAAGCATTTGATTGTGTGAAACATGAAGAAATAATCAATCTATTGGACAAAAATTGAAAAGATTTATGAATTATAAAGAACATGTTTTGGTAGCAAGCAGCAGCTATATGAATTAATAAACAGTTGGTAACATATCAGAGCATGAAGAGGGTAGTAAGACAAGGATGTGAACTATCACCTGATTTGTTTGCATTATACAGTGAAAATATAATGAAAGCTATCATGGATATGCCAGGAATTGTGGTTGGTGGGCATAACATTAACAACTTACGTTATGCTGATGACACTGTCTTGATAGCGACAAGTCGGAAAGAACTACAGGAATTGATAGATGCGGTAGTGTTAGAAAGTGATAAAATTGGTTTGAGTTTGAATAATGGAAAGACAGAAGTAATGGTGATTTCCAAGAAGGAATAGGGCCTAAATGTATAATAAAAGTCAGAGGCGTTGTTTTAGGACAAGTACAGAAATTTAAGTATCTAAACACATGGATAACATCGGATGGAAGATGTGTCACAGAGATAAAGAATGGAATAGGACAGACCAAAACTGCATTTTAAAAAATGAACAACATTTTATGCAATAAATCTATGACATTAGAGGTCAGGAAAAGAATTCTCGCAGACTATATAGAACCATCCGACTCTACAAGAGCATCATTTTGCCAGTTCTTCTTTATGGAGCGGAATGCTGGAGAATGACCAAAAAGGATGCACACAAGCTGTCCACCTTCCACCACACATGTCTACGTAGAATTATCAAAATTTTCTGGCCAGATACAATCTCAAACACTAAACTACTTAAGCCACAAACCAAGAAACTTTAGACATGATTACCAAGAGAAGATGGAAATGGCTTGGCCTCGTTATGAGAATGACTTCTGATACACCTGCCAAAACAGCTCTCACATGGACACCAGAGAGAAAGAGAAAACAGGGGCGCCCAAAAACAACATGGAGACGAACGATGGAAAGTGACCTGAGTGCGGCATCTCTGACATGGAAAACTGCACTGAAGATTACACAGGACAGGAAAGCATGGAAAGTCCTCTCTGAAGCCTCATGTGCCACTAGGCATAACAAGAACTGATGATGATGATATAGAGCCAGTTTTAACATATGGTTGTGAATCCTGGGCAGTTAATAAACAGGCTAGCCGAACAATATCTTGAGGCCGCAGAATGTGGTTTTACTGAAGAATACTTAGAATTCCTTGGAAAGCTAAGAAGAGCAACCCAGATGTTTTGAACAAGGGGAATGCTCGAAGACAACATATCACAAACATCAGAAAGAGACAGTCATCATTACTTTGTCATGTTATGAGAAGAGAGAAAATGGAACATGTTGTGACCACTGGAAAGATCTGTGGAAAGAGAGACAGAGGAAGAAGATTCTTGACAGTCTTTTGTGATGGCATGGAGGGGTGTCAACACATGAACTGATACACGCAGTTGCAGATTGTAGAGAGCCATGATCGCCACGCCAGTCGGCAAGGCACTTTTTAATGATGATATTGAATTCATAAAAGAAAACTGTTTTGCATATTTTCTTTTCTGTCTTTATTCTCCTCCAAGTTAGCCTGTGTGTAAAAAGTACACAGACGGTGTGTAGAAAGAAATATAAATCAGATTTTCTTCCAAATACAGGTAACCTTTTTTTCATATACAGATGAGTTACTCTTGCTGAAGAAACGCATGCAGGTGCCTGTGATGGAGACAGACCGACAGCGAGATGAAAGAAAGGTGCCCGATGCTGCCAGCATCCGCAGGGCCACAGCCCACCTGTCCAGGAAACACCATGATTCACCAGAAGAAGAACCTAGCTCTAACACTGATGTAAGATTCATCTTGCTGTCTGCATCACTTTTTCTTTGTGTTCATTGACAGTAAACTCGTGTGGAAAGTTCTGGTGTTTTGTCTACTTCTTGACTTTCTCCTTGTTCCAGAACTTGTGTTTTGCATGCACATCTGTTTTACAGATCTTGCTTATTTATGTGCAGATTTTTGGTTCCTTACCTCTCAGGCAGATGCACTCTGACATCGAAGGAAACATCCCTAATTAGTCAGCTTGTATGTAGCAGTGGTTCTATTATTTATGCTCTCCATATGGTGTCCAGAAACCCTTATGGGAAGTACATCACTTTTTCTGAGGGTTTACGTTATCTGTGACTGAGGTGTGATGAACATTGTTTCATAATTTTTAAATACCGCTTTAGATTCAGCTACAGGCTGTTTGGCAACAGACTGCTTTGTGTTTTATTACACTGGTATGAGTGGTGAAGCATTCAAAAAGCTTTGAAGGTGAAGTAGTCAGAGATAAGCTAGTTCAGCAATGATGAACATATATACCTTCATAATTGCCACATGTGGCTTGGCAAGGCAGATGTGATTGGCCATGTGAGAAGCTCTTGGAGTTTTACAGCTCAGATTGGAGTTAGAATTGTAAAGCAAGATTCTAACACTCTTGCTTAGACCACAAGTAGACTGACTATGGAGGTCATGGCAGTCACCAAAGCAATAACATGGCTGGAGATACTGACCTTTTCTCATGCATGCTTTCTCTGTGACTCAATGAGTTTGCTCAGGAAGATAGAGAAGGACTGGGTTCGAAGACAGTGGTTGGAGTCTCTAAAGCGGTTGAGGAACACATATCAGTTTCATATTTGTGCCAGGGCACGCGGGCGTGCAAGGAAATGAGCAAGCTGATAGGCTTGCAGGTAAAGATACTGTGGAGGGCAGACAAACCATGGACCATGATGAAATTCTGAATGCTCTATGAGAAATAAGATGTTTTAGAGAACCAAGTTATGACTGAATTTACAACCATGACCAAACTACTTGAACAACATGTTAAAAAGGGAGTGACCAGACGAGCACTATGCGGGAAGCCAAAGAAGAATAAGAAACCAATACAGAACTGGTGTCATGAGCCGCTACACGTTGCAGGATTTTCTAAGATCGGGATCCGAGTAATTATAGGCCGAATGGTTCGATGTGCAATTATGATAATCTGTCGACTCACTAATTAACAGATGTGATCAGGGCTCTTTGGTGTTTGTAAGTGTTTGCCTTGAATTTCTTAGGCGTTTTTCTTACCATACATGAGGTGTATTTGGTGTATTAAACAAATGACCCTTAGGGTAATGGCAGATAGTGTTTGACCTATATTATTATAGACCAGTCAGCACTCGATGGGGAGATGGTCAACACTGTGCTGGCCGTCTATACTTTGCAGGGCATTTTCCCTACGTATGTTATGCTGTTTCATCTGTGAGCTAAGTTCAGTTTTGAAAACAGTCCTTCTCTTTGAGGGTTTGAACACAAGAGCTGTGGATTGGCAGGTGAGCAACTAGCTGCCTAGCTACAGAGGCTGCCCATTATTTTTGTTGTTGTTGAGGGGAAAGGAATGGAAGGGGGTATTGATAGAGTAAATGTTTTTTTAGAGTAAAAGTTCATTTGGTGTATATTGTTTTATTGGAACAGAATTAGTGTTTGATGTAGAAGAGTTTGTTTTGTACATCATGTCTGTTTGGTTCACATTATATTTGTACTTCATATATATTGTTTATTTGTTTTAGGCATGAAAGACCATATTACTGAGATATGTATGGTGGTTAGATTTATATAGAATAAGCAAAGGACACCAGAAGTGATATAGTCATGAAAATCATATAATTAATTAATGCAAGGTGGATTGTTTGAATGTAAGGTGGATTGTTTGAATGTAAGGTGGGTTGTTTGAATGTAAGGTGGATTGTTTGAATGTAAGGTGGATTGTTTGCTTTAGAATGTGTGAAGAATGCTGCATGTTTGGGTTATTTAATAAGTAAATGGTCAGTACAGTAGAGTCAATGACCCATATGTGGTTGTGATTTACTAGTTATATGTGAAAGTAACAGCTGTATTATGTTTTGGTTATGTTAGAAGTAACTGGTCAGTGCTAGGGAGTCAATGACCCATACGTGGTGATGTACTAGGTATATGTGAAAGTGAAAGCTGTATTATGTTTTGGTTATGTTAGAAGTAACTGGTCAGTGCTAGGGAGTCAATGACCCATATGTGGTGATGTACTAGGTATATGTGAAAGTGAAAGCTGTATTATGTTTTGGTTATGTTAGAAGTAACTGGTCAGTGCTAGGGAGTCAATGACCCATACGTGGTGATGTACTAGGTATATGTGAAAGTGAAAGCTGTATTATGTTTTGGTTATGTTAGAAGTAACTGGTCAGTGCTAGGGAGTCAATGATCCATACGTGGTGATGTACTAGGTATATGTGAAAGTAACAACTGTATTATGTTTTAGTTATGTTAGAAGTAACTGGTCAGTGCTAGGGAGTCAGTGATCCATACGTGGTGATGTACTAGGTATATGTGAAAGTAACAGCTGTATTATGTTTTAGTTATGTTAGAAGTAACTGGTCAGTGCTAGGGAGTCAATGATCCATACGTGGTGATGTAATAGGTATATGTGAAAGTAACAGCTGTATTATGTTTTAGTTATGTTAGAAGTAACTGGTCAGTGCTAGGGAGTCAATGACCCATACGTGGTGATTTACTAGTTATATGTGAAAGTAAAAGCTGTATTATGTTTTGGTTATGTTAGAAGTAACTGGTCAGTGCTAGGGAGTCAATGACCCATACGTGGTGATGTACTAGGTATATGTGAAAGTGAAAGCTGTATTCTGTTTTGGTTATGTTAGAAGTAACTGGTCAGTGCTAGGGAGTCAATGACCCATATGTGGTGATGTACTAGGTATATGTGAAAGTGAAAGCTGTATTATGTTTTGGTTATGTTAGAAGTAACTGGTCAGTGCTAGGGAGTCAATGACCCATACGTGGTGATGTACTAGGTATATGTGAAAGTGAAAGCTGTATTATGTTTTGGTTATGTTAGAAGTAACTGGTCAGTGCTAGGGAGTCAATGATCCATACGTGGTGTTGTACTAGGTATATGTGAAAGTAACAACTGTATTATGTTTTAGTTGTGTTAGAAGTAACTGGTCAGTGCTAGGGAGTCAGTGATCCATACGTGGTGATGTACTAGGTATATGTGAAAGTAACAGCTGTATTATGTTTTAGTTATGTTAGAAGTAACTGGTCAGTGCTAGGGAGTCAATGATTCATACGTGGTGATGTAATAGGTATATGTGAAAGTAACAGCTGTATTATGTTTTAGTTATGTTAGAAGTAACTGGTCAGTGCTAGGGAGTCAATGACCCATACGTGGTGATTTACTAGTTATATGTGAAAGTAAAAGCTGTATTATGTTTTGGTTATGTTAGAAGTAACTGGTCAGTGCTAGGGAGTTAATGACCCATTTGTGGTGATTTACTAGTTATATGTGAAAGTAAAAGCTGTATTCTGTTTTGGTTATGTTAGAAGTAACTGGTCATTGCTAGGGAGTCAATGATCCATACGTGGTGATGTAATAGGTATATGTAAAAGTGAAAGCTGTATAATGTTTGGTTATGTTAGAAATAACGGTCAGTGCTAGGGAGTCAGTGATCCATACATGGTGATGTACTAGGTGTATGTGAAAGTGAAAGCTGTATTATGTTTGGGTTGTGTCAGTGCTAGGGAGTCACTGACCCATACGTGGTGATGTACTAGGTATATGTGAAAGTAAAAGCTGTGTTATGTTTGAAATGTGCAGTTCCTGACACTACAGTTTCAGAGCGAGCTGCGAAGGATTCTTATCTCCCTCATTGAAGCATCTCAACGTATTTTATGTTTGAACCCTGAAGCTGCAAAGATCCTTAAGCAAGCAGAGGGTAGGATAATTTTGTTTTCTTTAGAATAAATCTCTGCCTATCATAGTATAGGATAAACTAGTAACGCTATATATTTTTAATGAGTTGAGAATTTTGTTGAACTTTACCCATGCCATATAAGATGAAATAGAAGAGAGAGAGAGGCAGAGGGAGACCAAGAGAGAGAAGATATTAGTTTGACATTGGACATAGATGAACATCCATGTCAAACATAATTGCCAAAATTCTGTCGGCAGATGTGATGATGTAAAGCATGATTATAAGGAGAGAAAGATATTTTGACATGTAAATGCATGTAACATTCTGTACTTCTTATCTCGGAACTTTCTTACACTGTTTCATTAACACATATTTAATGTAGTTGATTTCTTAAGTGAGTCACATCATGCAACTCTGCAACAAAGGCAGGGTTTCGTTGGCTTGAGGGTGGTGAAGACTGATAGCTGGTGATGCAGAGGCATCAGAAAGCTGCGGAACCATGGTAGCTGGATACTTGCCTGCTGTCCTGTAGATCTGCGGTTTTATTCTGCATTAAGGTACATTTAGTTATAATTCACCTAGGCTCCCAGATCAGCACAGCTTAAAATGAAAACCTGGAAATTTCATGGGGAAATTAATGTCGCTGGCATCATGTTGCAATCAGTCATTCAGTGCCGATTAGTCTATTAAAAATACGGCTCCAGAACTGGTGTAACTGGCTTGAAAAGGTTCCTTAAACTTTCTAAAGAGGTGTCGCTGTAACATCTAATCAAATACAATGTTTGCATAGGTGGGATTATAAAGCCAAATGGCTTTGTTGATAGAGCTATACAGAATAGGTGGCATTTCATTCCAAAGGTGAATGGACTTTGCAGTAAAAAAGTGGAACTTTATATAAAAATCAAAACATCCAGCTTTACAGTGGAGGTGTGCGTACTTTCATGTATCTGTTTACGTAATTGCTTACACGCACACACCTGTCTGTTCTTGTCATAATCTGTTGTACTATATTAGAGGTATGCAGTGTGTCTGTTTGACATTCATAAATATATATTAGCAATATTTGTTGGATACTGCAGCACCACCTGAAGGATTGAATCAATGCCATACAAGAGACTCAACGCTGTGAAGATTTCAGATTCATGTAAAATGATTTTTTACTGAATAGACCACATACCCTGGGTGTACCAGTTGGAGCCGTGAGACAGGACAACCATGCAGGAGCCAACCGTCGTTACAACAACCAGAACAGAGTGGGAGTTGTTAGCCTAAAAACTCCTGAGACACTCAGGAGGTCGGAGCACTCATGATCATGTCCGATGTGCGATGACGATGATCTTTAAATAAACATTGAACAATGAAGGATTGAAATCCTTAACGTCAGGGTTGCAGATGTAATTTGCTTGCTTGTCTGTCGTAAAAACGTTTATATACAAACAACAGAGTGTCCAAAATTATCTTCACAGTTTGGATTCTATATTTACAGCACATAGCATTATCAGAAAATTTATTGTACAGTTTAAATAATACAGATTTAATGAATTTTCTAAATTTTATGACGCACAGAATTATCAGTTAAAGAATTGTCTAGATTTAATGACACATATAATTATAAGTTAAAGAATTGTCTAGATTTTATGACACATAGAATTATCAGTTAAAGATTTGTCTAGATTTTATCACGCATAGAATTATCAGTTAAAGATTTGTCTAGATTTTATGATACATAGAATTATCAGTTAAAGATTTGTCTAGATTTTACGACACATAGAATTATCAGTTAAAGAATTGTCTAGATTTTGGGAACATTTACCTCTTGTAATTTCTCCTGGCAATAACCTCTCAACTACTTCCTGCCTATGTGGGAAACTTCTGCTTAAATGTGCGTCTATGATAAGAGCATGTTAACTGATCCTTTTTGTTCAGTTTCCCAGCAAGCCCTTGTTTTTTTTAAGCATTTATTCATGAGTGGACTTCAGTCTTCAAAAATTTGTAGTTATTTAGATTTGGAAATAGTTGATAGAAAAGAATCAAACTGAAAATAATGTCTGGACACCCAGCCTACCCGCTCATGTATGTAATGAACATTTGTTGCAGTATATTGTATCATATATTGAATACTTCCATAGACTTGCTTAATGAAGCCCAAGCTAAGAAGGTGGACCTATCAGAGGCCAGCGTGAAACAGTTGACAGATATGGGCTTTCCAGAGAACAGAGCCAGGAAATCTCTTCTATTGAACCAGTATGTTTGCTTTAGCCTTAGCTGTGTGATGTCGCCTTGTAAATAGTGCTTTAGCCTTATCTGTGTGATGTCGCCTTGTAAATAGTGCTTTAGCCTTAGCTGTGTGATGTAGCCTTGTAAATAGTGCTTTAGCCTTAGCTGTGTGATGTCACCTTGTAAATAGTGCTTTAGCCTTATCTGTGTGATATAGCCTTGTAAATAGTGCTTTAGCCTTAGCTGTGTGATGTAGCCTTGTAAATAGTGCTTTAGCCATAGCTGTGTGATGTCGCCTTGTAAATAGTGCTTTAGCCTTAGCTGTGTGATGTAGCCTTGTAAATAGTGCTTTAGCCTTATCTGTGTGATGTAGCCTTGTAAATAGTGCTTTAGCCTTAGCTGTGTGATGTAGCCTTGTAAATAGTGCTTTAGCCTTAGCTGTGTGATGTAGCCTTGTAAATAGTGCTTTAGCCTTAGCTGTGTGATGTAGCCTTGTAAATAGTGGTATCGTGTATCCTTCTTCCTAGCTGTATCATGTATCCTTGTACATATTATTAGCATTATACATAGTTGTGTGATGTATGCTTGTATCTTGTTGTTTCATATGTCCGTGTACCTAGTTGTTTGATATAACCTTGTACATAGTTGTGTGATTTCTTATATAATTTTATGGTGTATTCTGTACATAGTTTTAGATGTATTATTGTACCTGTTTGTGTGATGTATCATTGTACCTAGTTGTGTGAGGAGGCATCATTGTACCTAGTTGGGTGAGGCATCATTGAACATAGTTGTGTGATTTCTTCTTGTACACAATTTTGTGGTGTATCCTGTACATGGTTTGAGATGTATCCTTGTACCTGGGTCGCCTAAGACCATCAGAAAACACAAATTCACTGAAGTTATGAAGTAGCAGCAAAAATTATTTCATGGTTGGGGGTCGCCACAACATGAGGAACTGTATTAAGGAGTTGCAACATTAGAAAGGTTGGGAACCACTGCTGTACATAGTTTGAGATGTATCATTGTACCTAGTTGTGTGATGTATCCCAGCACCTAGTTGTGTGATGTATCCCAGTACCTAGTTGTAGGGATTTTAGTCAAAATTTTTATTTTGGGTTTTTTACTTTTAAACCAAGACAATTGAATAGAGGTTGAAAAACTGAGTCCAACGGTACCTCAATGAAGTCTGTATGTCAATTCTAAGCGGAGATATTCACATTTCAGTGACGCAAAGTGCCCTCAAAAAATTATAATGGAAAACAAAGAAACAAGATGGCGGCGTGTTCCAAAGTGAAAACTGGACCTAAATTTATCATGTTTAATGTCAATAACTCTCATGTTTTTGGCGGAACCCCTTAGCAACCATGTGTCATTGCTTTCAGGGCAGCAAGCTATAACTAAAGTTGTTGCCTTTTTAAAAATATGATGTGATGCAAACCTAAATAACATTAAAATGAGTCAATTTATCAGTATTCATTAAATACCTTATGAATTTATTATTATTATCCAGTGAGTCTTGCAAGACGTATACTGTAATATATAAATATATATATATATATATATATATATATATATATACACTTTTGTAACTATTCTACCTGCTATGATGCATCTCTTTCTGTTTGTTGAAAAATGCTTTTTCTCGCACTTTCACTTGTGTGTGTGTGTGTATGCATACATCTGACCGAAATTTGCTTTATTCCACTGTTTAAAAAATGTTCAATAGCGAGTGGATTGACTTCATTGCATCGTTACTGGTTTAGTATGGCTTGGTCTTTCTCCACATAACTGAACGGCTAGCGCATGCTAAGAGCTTAGCACAAAGCCTGAATACCGTAGTTCCAGCAACAGCCCTCAGGTCTCCGCTTACCCAAAAAATTCATTTTTTAGTTGAACAACGCAGTTGTAAGTGAACGTACCGCAACCTTCTAAGCATGAGGTTATTGGCTTGACCACTTTGCTACGGAGACCCCCATATTGTTTTATAACCAAGTGAAAATGAGCGCCCCTCTTACTGATTTAACATAATCCTTTTTTCAGTCTTTGCAAGTTATTCTTTCATTTTATTGATGATGAGGGCATTTCACCATAGTGTTCCCCTCTTCTTCTTAACTAGTCACAGCTCGATATTTTATTTACTTGTTCAAAATAATCTAAGGTAACCGCCCGATTTGTGATTCAGTGCTGTTTTTCATGGAGTAAAATGATTAAATAAGCTCCTTTGTGATTCGCTTTGGATTTATGTTGTGTTTTCATGGAGTAGGATTTCATAAGGTAAGAGGAAAAATAACATTTTATTTTTGTAAAGTATCTATGCCCCATGTGATCTGTTTGTTGGCTAGTATATATTAGTATATATAGAAAATGATCAAATATTATTAATCATAAGTTGTAAGTAGCCCTAGCTGTAAGTAAACTTATGCACAGTTAAACAAATTATAATATTTTATTATTAATTTCATTGATCATCAACTTTCTAAATAAGCATTTCTAAAATCTAAGTAAGTCAGAACTACAATTCTAATACTAATACATAGTATCAGTCATAAATAGTACTTGTTATACTATCTAAGACAATAAAAATGCACCACAAAATCATAGTGCAGAAATATATGGCAGACATCTTTTAAATGTCAATCTGGGAGCGGAGAGTGGGCGTCAGCAGGTAAAAAGGCCTTAAACAGGTAAGGTCCTTCATGCCCAATGATAGGTTATGGCTTAAAAAAAGCTATATTGGCTAAAGATTCTAAAAATGATTAAAAAACTACTTTAATGTGATTTAAAAGTATATTAAAAAATGTTCAAACCAATGACTGTGTCCATTTTCAATGCTGAAAATACCCTAGCCAAATGGTCCATGTCAAAAACGTGGTAAAACATTATTTTCAGCTATTTAAAACTATTAAAACTGATGTCAAATGAAAGTTAGAGACCGTTAAATGATTATTAGAAATAAAAATTGCATTATTTTTCAACTGTTTTTATAAATAACTAGAAATTAGTCAATCAGTTCGTTTAGATCACGTGGCGGCCATTTTGAGAAATCTCTGATTTAGCTCTCAATACACGATTGGGAACAAATTAAAACTTTCAACTTCGTCCTGTACAGATTCTAACAAAACTGCCCAACTTTATGTAAAAATGGACACAGAATCCAAAAATGTCACTTTAGAGTCTTTTATTTTACCGAAAACAAGAGATATTAAAGAAAATTTACTTCCCGCATGGCAAATAGGGAAATTTATTAGGCTGAACAAAGATCGCTACGTAAGTTAGGTGTCGTTTTGTAGAGCGACCTCTTCTGAATAACTTTGAGCCCACGTATTCGATTCAGAACAGCCAGTGTTGAGCGACGGGTTTTCAAAGTAACTGATACGCAAAGGAGCCATTTTCCGTGGACCACCGACTCCATCTTGTAACTAAGCGATCTCTACTTTCGTTTTTAAGTGGGTCACTTGAATGATCGTAAACGCTACTAGTTGTGTGATGTATCCCAGTACCTGGCTGTATGATGTATCCCAGTACCTGGTTGTGTGATGTATCCCAGTACCTGGTTAGTGTGATGTATCCCAGCACCTGGTTGTGTGATGTATCCCAGTACCTAGTTATGTGATGTATCAAAGTACCTGGTTGTGTGATGTATCCCAGCACCTGGTTGTGTGATGTATCCAAGTACCTGGTTGTGTGATGTATCCCAGCACCTGGTTGTGTGATGTATCCCAGCACCTAGTTATGTGATGTATCAAAGTACCTGTTTGTGAGACGTTTCCCAGCACCTGGTTTGTGTGATGTGTCCCAATACCTGGTTGTGTGATGTATCCCAGTACCTGGTTTGTGTAATGTATCCCAGTACCTGGTTGTGTGATGTATCCCAGCACCTGGTTTGTGTAATGTATCCCAGTACCTGGTTGTGTGATGTATCCCAGTACCTGGTTGTGTGATGTATCCCAGTACCTGGTTGTGTGACGTTTCCCAGTACCTGGTTGTGTGACGTTTCCCAGTACCTGGTTTGTGTGATGTTTCCCAGCACCTAGTTATGTGATGTATCAAAGTACCTGGTTGTGTGATGTATCCCAGCACCTGGTTGTGTGATGTATCTCAGTACCTAGTTGTGTGATGTTTCCCAGCACCTGGTTTGTGTGATGTATCCCAGCACCTGGTTGTGTGATGTATCCTAGCACCTGGTTGTGTGATGTATCCCAGCACCTGGTTGTGTGATGTATCCCAGCACCTGGTTGTGTGATGTATCCCAGTACCTAGTTGTGTGATGTATCCCAGTACCTGGTTGTGTGATGTATCCCAGTACCTAGTTGTGTGATGTATCCCAGTACCTAGTTGTGTGATGTATCCCAGTACCTAGTTGTGTGATGTATCCCAGTACCTAGTTGCGTGACGTTTCCCAGCACCTGGTTGTGTGATGTATCCCAGTACCTAGTTGTGTGATGTATCCCAGTACCTAGTTGTGTGATGTATCCCAGTACCTGGTTGTGTGATGTATCCTGTGATGTATATAGCAGCGAGCTGATCCACACAGGACTGCAGTTGACACCTCGCTGCTGTAGCTGTTACGGGTGTCCTAATTATAACTTCTCTGGAGGTTAAACAAGGTATCTAAGGACCTACCATGTTGGTCTGTCATCCAGATTGAGATTTTCTAATCTCAGAATGGTGTGGTAACCTTTAGGTAGCAGACCACATGGGACAAACTGATTGATCAGCTGTAATAAATATACAGAAATAATTGTTTTCAATTGCAGACATTCTGTGGTAACAGCAATGGAATGGCTGCTGACTAATGAGTCTGACCCCGACATTGACACACCTCTGCCAGGTCAGGACCCTGAGGCCAGTGATGGTGCAACTGAAGCTTCAGCGGAGAATGCTCCCACAGCTCATCCAGAGGAGGGGGCAGCCAGTGAACCTGTGGAGGGTGCCACAGGGGGCATTGAGGCACCCCGCTTTAAAAATATTTTAGAAACCATCCGTGCCTTCCAGCATAAAGAATTCAGACCTGATCCTCATGTAAGTTGCCAAGGCAGTAGGCTGCTGTTCATGTCTCTTGCCCTGGTTGTTTACTCTCTCAGACTGCTGTTTATGTCTCTTGCACTGGTTGTTTACTCTCTTAGACTGCTGTTTATGTCTCTTGCCCTGGTTGTTTACTCTCTCAGACTGCTGTTTATGTCTCTTGCCCTGGTTGTTTACTCTCTCAGACTGTGTTTATGTCTCTTGCCCTGGTTGTTTACTCTCTCAGACTGCTGTTTATGTCTCTTGCCCTGGTTGTTTACTCTCTCAGACTGCTGTTTATGTCTCTTGCCCTGGTTGTTTACTCTCTCAGACTGCTGTTTATGTCTCTTGCCCTGGTTGTTTACTCTCTCAGACTGCTGTTTATGTCTCTTGCCCTGGTTGTTTACTCTCTCAGACTGCTGTTTATGTCTCTTGCCCTGGTTGTTTACTCTCTCAGACTGCTGTTTATGTCTCTTGTCCTGGTTGTTTACTCTCTTAGACTGCTGTTTATGTCTCTTGCCCTGGTTGTGTACTCTCTCAGACTGCTGTTTATGTCTCTTGCACTGGTTGTTTACTCTCTTAGACTGCTGTTTATGTCTCTTGCCCTGGTTGTTTAGTCTCTCAGACTGCTGTTTATGTCTCTTGCCCTGGTTGTTTACTCTCTCAGACTGCTGTTTATGTCTCTTGCCCTGGTTGTTTACTCTCTCAGACTGCTGTTTATGTCTCTTGCCCTGGTTGTTTACTCTCTCAGACTGCTGTTTATGTCTCTTGCCCTGGTTGTTTACTCTCTCAGACTGCTGTTTATGTCTCTTGCCCTGGTTATTTACTCTCTCAGACTGCTGTTTATGTCTCTTGCCCTGGTTGTTTACTCTCTCAGACTGCTGTTTATGTCTCTTGCCCTGGTTGTTTACTCTCTCTGACTGCTGTTTATGTCTCTTGTCCTGGTTGTTTACTCTCTCAGACTGCTGTTTATGTCTCTTGCCCTGGTTGTTTACTCTCTCGGTCTGATGTTTATGTCTCTTGCCCTGGTTGTTTACTCTCTCAGACTGCTGTTTATGTCTCTTGCCCTGGTTGTTTACTCTCTCAGACTGCTGTTTATGTCTCCTGCCCTGGTTGTTTACTCTCTCGGACTGCTGTTCATGTCTCCTGCCCTGGTTGGGCATCTGTATGTTCCTGTTTTTGTGTGTAAAGCCTTGGTGGTGAATTGGTTAACTCATTTGCCTTGCAGTCTGAAAATTGAGGGTTCGGTTTCAAGACTCCATCAAATTTGTTAATGTTAATATTTTGGAGTGAAAAATGCACTTTTTGTGCCAACTTTGTGCTATCACTGTCAGACATGGACAGCCCTGGAAAAACATGAATGCAAAATAACAACATGTGAGGTGAGATGTGTCAGAAATGCAGGAGGAGAGACAAGAGTCACTAACTAAGAACAGTGGTAGACACAATACCGGTAATTAATTTAACAGAACATCAAAGAATAAAATGGTTTGGTCATCTGGTCAGAATAGAACAGAATTACCCAGCAGCCAGGTGAAAACAGCAGGTTACAAGTCAAGAGGCCGACCAAAAAGATTTGGGTGTGGGGGAGCAGGAGATGCTACAGAAACATAGTATGACATTAACATAAGCCGCGCTACTAGCAACATTACATGTAGGAAATTACATCGAATTCCTCTCAAGATGTCATATCTTACTCTGTTATAATCATTCTCGAGATCCAGTGCTACCGCCATAGTTTCCTGTCTGTTCTAGAACCCTTCATAGACGTCAAAAGCAAAAGTGGCCACATTTGCCCATGTGTCCTTTCCTGGCCTGTAGCTTCCCAGGCCTCTTGGGAGAAGCTTTCCCCTTTCCAAAAATTCTTGCAGCTTTACAGCAACTATCTTCTCCAAGACCTTCCCAAATGTGTTTTGTAAGGTGATGATTCTAAAGCCACTGAGCTTTGAATGATCCTTGAAAAGTTTTGGTAGTGGAATTAAATAGCTGTGCACCCAGTCTTGCGGTACTGATGCTGTCTTAATGCTCTGGTTAAAGCAGTCGGCCATCTCTGCCAGGTCTACATCACTTAAAGCCTTCATGTGGCCCCATCAGGTCCTGGTGCAGTGTCTTTTGCCTTTTTCAAAATTTGTTTGATATCTTCTACTCGTATCATGTCTTCATATTCTTTAAGGTGCCAGCTAACTCCTTTTTAACTGTATCCCTGATGTCTACATCATTATGATCTGTCTGAGCTATACACCCATGGAGAAGATCTTGCATGCTGTCCCAGCTTAACCTTACTGGGTTTAGAAATCAGGACTGAACATGGTAGGTGATCACTCACATGGTCATTCAGGACAGTCCATTTAACATCTCAAACCGACGACTGAGAGACAAATGTCAAGTCACTGGCTGTGTTTGCATCGCCAGACCTCATTGCCATTCTAGTTGGACTCCCATCATTGATGCAGACCATATAGGAGTCAACCATGGTCACTGCAAGAGCAATTCTCTGTCAGTTTTCTCCGCTGCTGTCCCATTCTCTGTTCCTCGTGTTGAAATCCCCACATATGAGTAACATATCACCTGGTAACTCCTCCAATTCCTTGAGCCAGCCCCATTGTTCACTTCTGACAAAACAGTCTACCTTGGCATATATATTTGTGAGATTCCAACTTAAGCCACAAATCTCCTTCTGTATCCCTTGAACCTCTCTTCCACTGTGGTTCCACTGGCTCAAGTCAAGCAACACATGCTTCACTCCCTCCTTTACCACCAGACCTTGTTCGTGTCTCTGCTGTCCAACAGGATTTATGTAACTGACGTACCCCGGGCAATGATATCTGTCTGTATTTAGCTCCTGGAGCATGATAACATCATAGCACTGCGACGGTTCCAGTATCTTACTCTTACATGATTGAAGCCCAATCTCTCCGCTTTTCATCTTGTTCTTCTAGCCCCTGCCCTCCTATTTCTATGCCTTCTTCTCTCCCCATTCCCTCATTGTCTCCTCCTCACTCCCTCTTCACAAACTGCTGAAAAATTTGTCCAAGCTCAGAGCATGTGCTCCGTGGCTCCGGCGACGATTCCTATGTATATTTTTAAAATCCATATGCAAAAAATAGAGTACTGCAGGAAATGACCGGTCACCCCTAGCTAGGGAAGGGGCAGTGGATGTCCCATAGGAGTCCATGCGTCTTTTGCCGCCCGCCAGATTTCCAACGTTCACAACCATCTCACCCGTGGCCATCCAGTTCCTCAGCACGTTGGCCCACCTTGAACTTGGGGGTTTATATTCAGAGTTTGCCGTCTCCTAGATGGACTGCTGTCCAAAGCTAACGGGTTCCACCTACCCGGGTAAAGGGTTTATAGCTCCCCGACCCACTTGGCAGGCACGTCTCCGATCATATGAGGTATTTAAAATGATTTCAGATCCCACCCTGAAATCCTGCCTCACCCTCTATGCCCATCGCCAGTTGGTCCGCGGCTGTTTATTTGGTATCCACAGCTAACCTCTATATCTAGAGGCCGTTCCACAGTCTGCAACCAGTGGGTGTGCTGGGTTGGGGATGGTCGCCCCGGCTTTACCCAGTGAGGAAATTTATGAACACTAAATGGGATGAACTTAATAAAAGTCAAAGAAATATCTGCACAACTGCAGGTTCCAACATTTGTAAAACAGAGGTGAGAATGATGCAAATAATCTGAGAAACATTGATGGAGAAAGTGGGTGTATTGAAAAGAATATATTGACAACAAAAATATTGTAGACTGGATTACATTCGCATTTGGTGGCCCATGGGCGAATGTAGCCCGCAGTTATTCCAGTTGTGTTGGAATAATCGTCTTTATATGCTAGGGCTCCGGCTTTTGGTCCATGAGGATCCAGATTCTAAACATGTTGGCCCCTTAAAAACTTAGTGTGCTGTTCACGTACCTGTGACGTTGACCTTTCATTCATAGCATCTTGGACTCTTCTGGATTACAGGGGTGTGCGAGTCTATTCCGCGGGACATCTGTCTGTGTCGAGCAAACTGCGACTCGACATATTGAATGGTTGCCTGGCTGACTGCGATAATTTACCCCTGCCCTCTTCACCCGCAACATTGCATATCGCCGGTTGTGTCCCCCAAATAATCTAGAATTAGCTTACACCCCTATGCCACAGAACAGTCCAGTGATTTATGAATAAAACAGCGAGAAGTGCGTAACCTAATTTAAACGTCATGGTTGCCGTGAACAGCACCAAACTTGGTTGAATAGCCCTGCTGTGCATGCTTTTGGTAGGGTTGAACAGGATGGGACAGAAGGGATGAATCAGCTGTGAGCTCTCTATAATGTATAACAGGCTCAGCAGGATAGTGATGATCATCCTTGATGTGTTTATGTACTACTGCATGTGTATTTAAAGCAACCCGAGTAATAATTCAGCTGCTTCATTAACATATTTTCAGGCTCTACAAAATCTGATAGAAATGGGCTTTATAGAGAAGGAGGCTGTACATGCCCTGCGGATGTCTAGAAACAACCAGTCTGCTGCTGTAAGTATTAATGATTTGCTGGTTGTCTTAATGGTTAGTTTATGTGATATAATTACACTCTTGTTATTATTAGTTAATGCATTCTCAGAAGTTCTCCATTCTCATCTTTAGCAGCCATGAGGGTCCAACTTGCCTTTCCTCTGAGTGTCGAGTATCGGCCAGATCCCCTCGTCATTCCTCACTTGTGGCCATTTGAAAATAAAGTTTGTTCATTCATTGAATTGTACGCGTGCTCCCATAAAGCCTTAACCATGTCTGCCTTATCATGCACCAATATTCCACCAGTTTGTACACATCCAGCCGATCTATCCACTGTTCATTTCCCAACACACTGGCATATCCTGGAGAAGATATCCAAACAATGCTCTTTACCCTTGACCTTAAAAGCAAAACATGCCATTCTGCACGAAGTTGCCTGTCCTCACCTTCCTCAGCATGCTTTCTGAGTCTGTTACAATCACGAGGTGTGTGTGTGTGTCATGTTCTCTAACCAGCAGGAAGCTGCAGTGACTGCTTCCACCTGCATTCTTACGCCGGATATTGTGGCATCATATATAAGCTAAACACTTCTGCACCACGCGTCAACCTTTAAGCTTTTAACTAAAAACCCTTAGGCTCTTCTTTTTCATCTTGACACTGAACCATGTATACAAACAATGAAATCACCTGAGTGAGCATTATCCTGAATCAGTTGCTGAATGTATACTTCTGTGGCACTTGCTGGCCACTCTCTGCACTCCCAGCTCAATATGATTATGCCTCTCTTTCCACTGGCACACTGACCCAATTCTCTCCATGATTAATGTCTCTTCATGAGTCAGTTTCTTTCTGCATTACTCTTTTGATCTGACCAGTGTGTTGTCATTGTTGCTGTATAAAACCACCTCTCTGCTATTTCCACATAATTGTTCACTAACTGGCCAGCTGTTATTGGTTCATGTCAGTATATTAGGATGGGATTGATAAAGCTGTTGAGATTTCTCTTTCTCACCTTATATATGATCATCCTTGAGGTGTTTATGTACTACTGCATGTGTATTTAAAACAACCTGACTAATAATTCATAGTTACATTGACCTGTCATCATAGTAAGTAATTATTGAGAGTCGACATGACTTTGAATGCCATGTCCCATAGAAAACAGTAGTTGCAAAGTTAGTCAACGGATTATCATCATCGCACATCGAACCATTCTATCCATAAGTGCTCAGATCCCCTCTTCAGCATCTCCCTCAGAGTTTAGTGGCTTATGACACCAGCTCTGTGTTGGTTTACTATTCTTCTTTGGGCCCCTGTGTAGTCTTGTCTGGCTTCACCCCTTTTGTTGTTATGTTTGTTCAGTCTCATCAGTGTTGCAGATTTTACAATTATTACTTGATCCGTTCAATCGAGCCAGCTCTCTGAGGACATTCAGTATGTCAGCTATGTCTATTTATCACGTGAGCATCACCTGCAAGTCTGCCAGCTCATTCATTGCCCTTTACACCAGAATACTCCAGAGCAAATATGAAAATGATTTTTATCAGCCTAGATCTATTCAGGGATTCCACCAGTGTATGCAGCCTTTCTCAATCTTTTTGAGCATATTCATTGAGTCGCTAAGAAAGCATGCCCAGGTGAAAATCTTTCTAGACATTCTGTTGCTTTAGTAGCTGCCATGACCTCCACATGCTTATCGTCAAGGTGAAGGCACGACAGTCCATTTTTACAGTTCTCCCTCCAGCCTAAGCCGTAAATGTCCACGAGCTCCTGACATTTTGAAGGACAGACCCGCTGCAAATTACTGCCAGTCTTGACCAACTCTACAGAAAGCTTAAGCATTAAATGGTTTATGTTCCATTAGGAGATGAAGGTGAGAAAAGAAAGGAAGATCAGTTTTCAGATCCAGAAACATTTGCTGTATTAATGAGTTATCTTAAAGAAACCATGCTGACTACAAGGATCAGTTTGCAGATTCAGAAACCTTTGCTTTATTAATGAGTTATCTTAGAGAAACCATGCTGACCACACAGGATCAGTTTTCAGATCCAGAAACATTTGCTGTATTAATGAGTTATCTTAGAGAAACCATGCTGACTACACAGGATCAGTTTTCAGATCCAGAAACATTTGCTGTATTAATGAGTTATCTTAGAGAAACCATGCTGACTACACAGGATCAGTTTGCAGATCCAGAAACATTTGCTGTATTAATGAGTTATCTTAGAGAAACCATGCTGACTACACAGGATCAGTTTGCAGATTCAGAAACATTTGCTTTATTAATGAGTTATCTTAGAGAAACCATGCTGACTACACAGGATGAGTTTGCAGATCCAGAAACATTTGCTTTATTAATGAGTTATCTTAGAGAAACCATGCTGACCACACAGGATCAGTTTTCAGATCCAGAAACATTTACTGTATTAATGAGTTATCTTAGAGAAACCATGCTGACTACACAGGATCAGTTTGCAGATCCAGAAACATTTGCTGTATTAATGAGTTATCTTAGAGAAACCATGCTGACTACACAGGATAAGTTTGCAGATCCAGAAACATTTGCTTTATTAATGAGTTATCTTAGAGAAACATGCTAACTACACAGGATCAGTTTGCAGATCCAGAAACATTTGCTTTATTAATGAGTTATCTTAGAGAAACCATGCTGACCACACAGGATCAGTTTGCAGATTCAGAAACATTTGCTGTATTAATGAATTATCTTAGAGAAACCATGCTGACCACACAGGATCAGTTTTGCAGATTCAGAAACATTTGCTGTATTAATGAGTTATCCTAGAGAAACCATGCTGACTACACAGGATCAGTTTGCAGATCCAGAAACATTTGCTGTATTAATGAGTTATCTTAGAGAAACCGTGCTGACCACACAGGATCAGTTTGCAGATTCAGAAACATTTGCTGTATTAATGAGTTATCTTAGAGAAACCATGCTGACTACACAGGATCAGTTTGCAGATCCAGAAACATTTGCTTTATTAATGAGTTATCTTAGAGAAACCATGCTGACCACACAGGATCAGTTTGCAGATTCAGAAACATTTGCTGTATTAATGAATTATCTTAGAGAAACCATGCTGACCACACAGGATCAGTTTTGCAGATTCAGAAACATTTGCTGTATTAATGAGTTATCCTAGAGAAACCATGCTGACTACACAGGATCAGTTTGCAGATCCAGAAACATTTGCTGTATTAATGAGTTATCTTAGAGAAACCGTGCTGACCACACAGGATCAGTTTGCAGATTCAGAAACATTTGCTGTATTAATGAGTTATCTTAGAGAAACCATGCTGACTACACAGGATCAGTTTGCAGATCCAGAAACATTTGCTTTATTAATGAGTTATTTTAGAGAAACCATGCTGACCACACAGGATCAGTTTGCAGATTCAGAAACATTTGCTGTATTATTGAGTTATCTTAGAGAAACCATGCTGACCACACAGGATCAGTTTGCAGATCCAGAAACATTTGCTTTATTAATAAGTTATCTTAGAGAAACAATGCTGACTACACAGGATCAGTTTGCAGATCCAGAAACCTTTGCTGTATTAATGAGTTATCTTAGAGAAACCATGCTGACCACACAGGATCAGTTTGCAAATTCAGAAACCTTTGCTTTATTAATCAGTTATCCTAGAGAAACCATGCTGACTACACAGGATCAGCTTTCAGCTGTGGTCTTCTGTCCTGTATATCCTGATTGAGCAGAGTAACCCATTCAACTCACACTAAGCCTTCCTTTCCTTTACCATCTGTGGCAGCTCATTCCACATCTTCTCTGTCTTATTCCCCTCTGTCTCCCATTCGTCTCTAAATGTTTTTGGCCTGCTTCTGTTTTTGTATCACTGTAGGGTCCATTCTGGTTAGGCTAGAAGAAACACTGGCGGGGCTGATGTAGTCAATACTGTAAGGACTGGGCTGGAAGGTATCAGTGAGTCTGATGTTAACTCTTGTATTTGAACTGGTAATGAGCTTGGCCATACTGTGTCATTTTCAAGATCAGCATGTAAGACTTTATAATGAACCTATGGGAACAGGCAGTAGATGTGTCCTGGTATAGCTGCTGCATGAAAGTGTACAGTGTACAGTATGCAGTGATGTTGATTGTCATAACATAAATATTATAAGGTTTTCCCAGTATGTGTCCTATCCAACACCAGCATCTTTTCATTTCCTCATTCACAGGAATAAGCTTTATATTAGTGATTCTATCATAGTTTAATTTCCTCTATTCTATTTGGAGGTAACCGGCATGGTGTAGTGGGTAGACGCTCACCTGCAGATCTGATGGTCATGGATTCAAAGCTGCATGGAGTTGGTATTTTTTCATGTGTGATCATGGCTCCCAGGTCGACCCAGCCTTAAATGTGTACCAAATAAAAACTTGGGAAGTGTAACAGCCCAGCGTGATGTTGATGACATCATCCATCTACAGCCCATTGGTCTGTAAACATATGAGTCTAGTTTTTATATGCCTGCTACGCCACTGGCTTGTGAAAGGACCTTTATTTTGTTGTAGTTATTTGTTGTTGTTGTTTGTTTAAATTATTCTGTTTTGGCACCATTATATGAGTATGTAGTTTATTAGTATCTGTTTTAGTAATTCTCCATGTTCTTGCGGTGCTGATTTGATGTTAAATGTTCATATTTTAAATTTGCTGCTGTATTTAAAATGTTCAGCTATAGTGCTAAATGTGACTCTTGTATTGTATATTTCCCCCATATTTCTTTTCAGTGTGACTGGCTGCTCAGTGACCGCAAAGAGACACCAGAAACCGTTGACCAGGGTTTGGATCCAAACAGTCCTGTCTACAAGGCAATTCTAGCACACCCAAATGTTCAGCTGGGGTTAAACAATCCACGTTGTCTCCTGGGTGAGTTTTTTTTCTATTTGTGTGTTTTTGTTTTAATATTGTTTTTTTTTAAATATTCATCTTGAACTGGCTCTGACAACAGCTAAGCAGTACATCGCCCAGATCAAGATAAGTTACAAGTCAGGTAATCTTTATGGCAGTACATAAGTGTTCATATACCCCACTCATCATATAAAACAGCGTCCAGTGGCTTCATAGTACCAGTTTCTTGCTGGTTATTAAGACTTCTCCTACACCTCATGTGTCTCTCGTGCCTGGCTTTGCCATGTCTTTACTCCCAGTTCTCACATTCTTAGCAGTGTCCATCAGCCCTGAGGTGTCACTGTTTTGTGTCCGCAAGTTCTGAGTTTGGTCATCTATCACAGATATCTGTTTCGCCACAAGCTGTGAGATGTCAATCACTTTTGTGTGAATACAAACCCTGAATTGTCACTGGGTTCAGTTGACAAGCCCTGTATTGTCACTGTGTCCACAAGCCCTGAGTAGTCATTGGGTTCAGTTGACAAGCCCTAAGTTGTCACTGGATTCATTTGACAAGCTCTGAGTTGTCACTGAGTTCGGTTGACAAGCCCTGAGTATTGCTGTATCCACAGGCCTTGAGTTGTCACTGGGTTCAGTTGACAAGCCATGTGTTGTCACCATTTTGTCTTGACAAGCCATTTGTTATCACTGTGTCCACAAGCCCTGAGTTGTCATCATGTTGTCTTGACAAGCCCTGTGTTGTCACTGTCCACAAGCCCTAATTTGTCATCATGTTGTCTTGACAAGCCCTGTGTTGTCACTGTCCACAAGCCCTAAGTTGTCACCATGTTGTCTTGACAAGCCCCGTGATGTCACTGTTTGCAGTCCCTGACTTGCCACTGTTTTGTGTTTCAGCCTTCCTACAGATGCTGGAGAACCCGTTGACTGCCAGCCAGTGGCTGAGTGACCCTGAGACTGGCCCTCTACTCATGCAGATATCTCGTATTTATCACTCTGAAAAACTGACACCCTCTAGCTCTGATACAGAATCCTCCGACACAGGCAGTTGATGTGAATCATCACCGTGGTTTATGTGTATGCATGTGCATCTGTCTGCCTTTTTTCTCTCTCTCTCTCATTCTTTCTCCTCCTCTGTCCCTTACTCTTTATCTCTCTAACTTTGCTGTCGCTGTGACACATATACATGCCCACACACTCACATGTGTGCACACACACATACACACACACACACAGAAGAAATATATATGAATGTGAAGGCTGAATGATATTTACCTCTGGCAGTATATGTCTATATAATAATTATAAAAGCACAGCAGATGTTGGTTTGCTGACTTGGCATTGAAATTATTTCCTCTTTTGTTCATCCTGAAAAAAAAATGTGATTGAATCGAATGTGTACAACTCTAATGCAGCAGACGTGAAGTAAGATCAAAAAAAATATAAGCCATGATGCCTGGGAAATTGTTCATTACTAGAATAAGTGTTACCATTTTTACACCCATGTGATATTATGGGTGTTATTTTGCTGTTTTTGTGTGTGATAATATGAGTGTGTTGTTTTATATCCGTGTGATATGAGTGTTACTGTTTTTTTATATTTATGTGATGATATAAATGTTAGTTTTTAAATGTTTGTAATGAGTGCTATTTTTTTTAAATATCTGTGTGATGATTTATATATGTTATCATTTTTATATCGGTGTGATAATATGAGTGTTAATTTTTGTTTTAAATATCTGTGTGATCAGTATGGACTTCATTGTTGACTGTACGAAACATAGGGCATGAGAATGAAGGATGTTAGCCTCTTTTTGGAAGAATTTTTGTGCTTAGAGATTCTGAACGCAGTGTCATAATCTCAACATCTCGGGCTTAATGCAGCTGTAGGTGATTTTGCAGCATTTAGAGTGGATACTTTAATATCCTGTCGTCGTCTGGGGCTTGGGCATTTTGAGTGCGCTTCATAGCGCCGAGGTGCTGGGTTTGATTCCAGCTGCAGACGGTTTGTCTTGTGCTGGTTTCGGTGGCTGTATCGAGAGCTGACTGTTCAGAAAGCGGTGGCGAACTACTGAACGATAAATGTGCCTAGGAAAACCATAACAGCCAAAAAATGCTGGGGTTGGTTCTGCAACGTCCAGTAAAGGATACCCAACGAACTTATAACTTTAAGGTCATATCTCATCTCTAGTTAAGCACCAAAGATGCAGCAAAACAAAGGAATACAGACAGTGAATACCTGTGGGAGGACTGAAGGAGTTAAAATTAACAGTTATGTTTATGTGGGGAAGTACTATCATATGTTAGTACAACTACATTATACATGGTGTGGTCCATACACATAAAAAAGCCGCCTGTGAGACTAGAAATAATACAGATGACTGATGCATGGTGTAAACAGTAAACCTTAAAGCACTTGTGTGAACAGGAGGACATAATACAAATGAATTATGCATGGTGTAATCAGTAAACCTTAAAGCATGTGTGAGTTGGGAGGACATAATACAAATGAATGATGCATGGTGTAAACAGTAAACCTTAAAGCATGTGTGAGTTGGGAGGACATAATACAAATGAATTATGCATGGTGTAAACAGTAAACCTTAAAGCATGTGTGAGTTGGGAGGACATAATACAAATGAATGATGCATGGTGTAGTCAGTAAACTTGTTGGGTGACTGGGTACAGGATGTGTTCACAAAGTGTGCCTAAATGTTCCTGTGTTGTTGACTGAACTGTCAGAGCCACTGACATTTCATTGTCTAATTTATTAATGGACAGCACATGTAATGAGTGTATTTTGTGCTAACCTTGTCATGTTTTTATAGTTACATTAGTTAGGTATCCTTTACAGGAAGTTGTAGAACCAACTGCAGCATTTTTTTGGCTGTTTGATTTACTGGGCAATTTTACATTCAGTAATTTGCCATAGCTCTCTCAACGGTCAGCTGTTGATATCACTATCGAAATCAATGCAGAGCAGTCTGTTGTCAAATTGTGTGCAGCTGGAATTGAACCAGGTCCCTCGACATAACTGTGCTCGCAATGCCATTTTAAAATAAATGTTTGCTCTATTGAGGGCAGGGATTAACCCAGTATTCCAAAGAAAAACATTTATAGAAGGTTGAAGTTGTACAGTAATCCCAGACTTAGACACTTGTGGTTTCCAAGAAGCACTTGGGAGGTGTCAAAGTTTGGACTTTTACCCAGTGAAATGTCTTTCCATTCTTCCTGCCGCTGGCTGTCAGATGAGAAGGCTTCAGTCCTCTGTGAAGGTTGTGGTGTAACCCAATTCTCTCTGATCCGTGTGAGCTTAGTTTCCAGTAAAATGTTTACTGACCAGTCCTAGGATGTAGAGAGCATGATTGCAGCAGGTATTGAATATTCTGGGCGTGCCTGTACACTTACATAGGTAAACAAATTGTTTCCTTTCTTGTGTTGCCTAGCTGTTTTAATTAACAGAAATTAACGATGTGTTATACTGGCCATGGTAAAGCAAACATTTGTTTCAGTTGTAACACTGCAGACTTAGATTAGCAGTATTAGTTTGAAACCCTCTACTGATGATATTCAGATGTGATGTGTTTGTGTGGAAATTAATTGTTACTATACAATCATGTTTTGAAGAAAACAAGTGATTTTGTTTAAATATTGATTATGGTTATTAAATATTTTATTCTTTGTAAGAAAATTGTTTTTGTGTGTGTGTGTAAATCAAAGATGTTTGCTGTCAGTAAGGTAATCAGCTGAGCTTTGAGTTAGCTATGATATGAAATTCAGAGTTAACCCTTTCGGTCCCCACTACTTGTCATACAACATTATTTAACTCTATGTTTGTTTACTTTAGAGCAGGGCTACTCAACTGGCGGCCCGCAGAGGCCTAGCAAATGGCCCGTGGATCATTGCCAAATGTATGGTATTATTGATCTTTCTTTGCTAGGGCTAGGATCTCTGGCCCGTGAAAGTCCACATTTTCAACATTTTGGACCCTGAATAAACTTAGCTGAGTAGCCCTGCTTTAAGAAAACAATCTGTTAGTAGTTACCGATTCAAAGAATTGATATAGAGGACACATGAAGTTAACCCGCTGGTTACCCTTGCACTTTTCCAGATAATGCAGCATATGTCAAGTGTGTACTAAAACTGCCATAGCTTCACAGCTGTGATCAACTCATAATATTTTGTATTTTTGCACCAAATCGTATGGAGAACAAATTTCAGGAACAAAACCTGCAAAATCTTGTTTTGTATCACCATCATAATGGGAATCAAGCTGTCTGAACAAGTTTCAGACTTGTGTAGGGTCTAATCACTTTAGGTCATGAGTGCAGGGACTGACCAGCTGGTGCTGCAGAATTGGAAGTTAATAAATGATTCATGACAATTCCCACCCAAGTGATGTGATTATCTGTACAGATTACTCTGTGTTGAGGGGCATACGAGGAGTTTATAGCAAAAGCGAATGGATGTCACTTAGTGCTGCAAAGCCTTGCATATGATGTCACAACATCTAGTTTGAAAATGGAGGTGGAGACAGTCTCTGCTGCCTTCTTCTGGCTTGAGAATCAGCTGTACACCATGCCGTGATTGTCACTGACTCACAGAGCATGCTGAGAAAGGTAAAGACAGGCATGCTTCGTGCAGAGTGGCAAGCATCACTTCAGAGGTTCTGGGTGGTTAGCATCCTTCGTTTTTTTTTCTAGGTGATGCCGGTGTGTTGGGAAATGAGTAGCCAGATAGTGGCTCTGCACTACTTGGGGTTAAATTGATTTATGACAAGCTAGATAGTGTGAGGGCCCTTTGGGAACGAGTGAACAGTGCAGAGGCACAGATAAATCATTATGGTCTGAGGAGAATGGCACTGCAAGGAGTTACCAGGGAATCTGGTCGACGTTCAGCATGCAGGGGAATGATGAGACGGATATACAATCAGACGGTTACTGCTGCCATCAGAATTGGAACTCTTCGCTTGCTGCTGAAGATGGGGACAGAGCACTTATGGGTTGTCCCAAGTGCTGTCATGTCGATTCCTAATTCAACATTCGACTTCAAAATGTGAAGGAAAAAACCGCAAACTAAGTATCTGTTTTTAGCATCAGTAAAGACTAACAGAAACTCCGTATCTTAATAACTACTCATACTGCAAAATACATAAACAAAAACTGTAAAATTGTTGTACATGATTATCATATGACTGTACATTGTTGCAAAAATGGCAACTGAAAAATCTTGTATCTGACATCAGTATAACAATTTGTTGTTCTTAAATAATCTTGGATAAAAGCTCTGCCTAATTGTGAAATAAAATTTTGAAAATTCATTGATGTTTTGCCATTTTCCACCAAGAATTTCTGATGCAATGTGAATGAATTGTCCAACTTAAAAAGCCCCAAAAACTATTTTTTCCTCATGGGAATTGCACCCGGGGAAATGTCAAGGATTGGATTATAAAGTGGTTTTACTGAACTCTCAAGCCATAGAGCCATAATGTACACAGTCTACACTAACATACCCATCTAGCAATACGCATCTGAAGCATATACACAAATTAATGTATTTCAAATGCTTACCTCTGACTGTTACTGCTGTTGAGCAAAACATTGCTTTTCTAGTTTTGACAATGTTTTCGTTGGCAGTTCATAAGAATTAACAATCCCACTTAGCAAACTATTGAGAAGTTTCTTTACCTTCACTTCCTGATTTTGAAAAAAAACTCTTCTATAGCCATCACAAAACCCGATTGGCTTATAAAAACATTAGTCTAGCATCACATGCCTTACGGGCCACGTATGCCTAGTGTCCCACACATGCCCAGTGTCCCACATGTGCCTGGTGCACCACACATACCCAGTGTCCCACATTTGCCTGGTGCACCACACATGCCCAGTGTCCCACATGTGCCTGATGCACCACACATACCCAGTGTCCCACATGTGCCTGATGCACCACACATACCCAGTGTCCCACATGTGCCCAGTGCACCACACATGCCCAGTGTCCCACATGTGCCTGATGCACCACACATGCCCAGTGTCCCACATGTGCCTGATGCACCACACATGTCCAGTGTCCCACATGTGCCTGATGCACCACACATGCCCAGTGTCCCACATGTGCCTGGTGCACCACACATACCCAGTGTCCCACATGTGCCCAGTGCACCACACATGCCCAATGTCCCACATGTGCCTGATGCACCACACATGCCCAGTGTCCCACATGTGCCTGATGCACCACACATGCCCAGTGTCCCACATGTGCCTGATGCACCACACATTCCCAGTGTCCTACATGTGCCAAGTGCACCACACATACCCAGTGTCCCACATGTGCCCAGTGCACCACACATGCCCAGTGTCCCACATGTGCCTGATGCACCACACATTCCCAGTGTCCTACATGTGCCAAGTGCACCACACATACCCAGTGTCCCACATGTGCCCAGTGCACCACACATGCCCAGTGTCCCACATGTGCCTGATGCACCACACATTCCCAGTGTCCTACATGTGCCAAGTGCACCACACATACCCAGTGTCCCACATGTGCCAAGTGCACCACACATACCCAGTGTCCCACATGTGCCAAGTGCAACACACATACCCAGTGTCCCACATGTGCCCAGTGCACCACACATACCCAGTGTTCCACATGTGCCCAGTGGGCACACATGCCCAATGCCCGACATGTGCTTGACACACTACTGGCGTGAACAGGTCCTTTTATTTTGTTAAACTTTACTTTACTTAAGTGACACAAATATTGTACATACAGCTTTTAACAGTTAGATAAATAGAATATAAATTAAACTGTATGGCAAAATTTGTACAGTTACTTTTCAGATACCCTGTATATGTAGGTATAAATGTAAGTTGTCCATTTTCTCAGTTGTACAAGGTCCGACAATTAAGTAATGAGACTAATTCCATGAAAATTAAAATAATCGATCTGATTCAAAGTAAGCCCCTTGTGCATTGATACAGCAAGTGGCATGATCTAACGAACTGGAATGACGTCTGTAGTTTTTCTGTTGTTTTGGCCCTTAAAGTCAATGTTACGGCCCTTTGGATGTCATCAGTATCGTTAAAGAAGCATCTTTTTAATTTTGGGAGTAGAAAATAATCACAGGGAGACAAATCTGGGGAATAGGGTGGAAGGCTGAGAACACACACCTGTTTTTGTTGGTTCCAAAATCCTTGTTTTGATGATGTCTCTTGGGTACACAACCCGCTGATGTTTTTGGTCATCAGACAATGAATGTGGTACAAACCAGCAAGCAATTTTTTCTTGCCAAAATCTTGCACTAAAATGTTATGAATTGTTTCTCTAAAAACACCAGATTCATCTGCTATCATTCTCACAGTAAAACAATGATCTTCTTGTATCTCTTCTCTGACTTTTGCAATGAGTTCATCATTACAAACATATATTTGGTGCGCAGTCTAGGTGCATTAGTAATCATTTTCACACCACTTTTGAATCGTGAATACCACCTGAAAATGTTTGCATGAGATAAACAATTATCCCCATAAACTTGTTGCATCAATCCAACGGTTTCAATGGCGCTTTTTCTCAGTTTTAACAAGAATTTAATATTGGCTTTTTGCTCCGTGCTGATGACGTACCAATGCACCTCTGACTAGGCGATGAAAAGTTACCAGATCATAGATGAATGTTGCCTCTTTAGATTCCATGCTTTGCTTCATAGATGGCATTTTTGTCTTGGCCATAATAAAATCAGTCTCATTTCTTAATTTGTCAGACCTTGTATGTTATATGATCACAGTGGACATAACTGCACAATGGACATTCCGGTGTGGGCCCAGTCTGCTGGTGCAGTACAAACTGTCTTCAGCTGATTGTGTTTATCACTTGTAGTCGGTAAAGGATTGGGGTTGGGGGGGGGGGGGGGGGGTGGTTGATGTAGGGAGCCTGAGACTTTAAGGCTGCATGGCAAAATGCATCTTCCTTGTGTGTTCCAGTGACCAATAGGGAAGAGGGCACTTAGGCTCAAGGGCCCACTTCCCCCAACAAGCATATTGTTTGTAAAAAGCAGTTAATCAGAGGTTTGCTGAAACTGACAGTGTTGGGCCAAAAGTCGCAGATACCACAGCCTTGCTGTAAATCACAACATAATATGCTAACTGCTCTTTTACTGGCAAATGTTGGAGAAAAAGTTAGTGCAGTTACGATAAACTCCGCAGGTTAGGAAATTTTTGTTTTGCCACCAACAGAAAAATTCTCTTCTCCTTACCCAGAATCAAATTCATGTCCCTTTCATGAGAGTCCAACGCTCTACTTACTCTGCCAGGTGCTCATCTCTGATGACCAAAGTGTCAGACCGACTGACTGACTTTCTACCCCACCAGGACATCGCACAAGCGATAAACACCCGATGACACAAAGTGCCACCATGTGGATGAGGATCGCTGTGGAGAGGTCCCAAAAACCGCGTTCAGACAATCGGCCATATTTATGGCCTGCCTATATTGCAAAAGCCAGGGTGGGGCTTCAAAAAACGAAAAATCTCATCCTAAAATCTCATCTCATACGAAAAAAAATAAAGTGTCAGAGCAAAAAGCAGACTTATCTAGGGTTCTAATCACACTGGGCCGGAAATGGAGCAGCTGTTGGCCAGCAGGAACTGCAGAATCAGAAATTGAAGAATTAATTCATGGTAACTCCCGGTCAGATGATGTGACTACCTACACAGATGTCTGTCTCTGTGTTGAGAGGCAGAAGAAGTGCAATGGGGGTTCATTGTGAAAACGAATAGACAATGCTTAAAACAGCAAAGTCTAGCATATGATGCTACAACATCTAGTTTGAGAATAAAGGTGGAGACAGTCACAGCAGTTAAGGTTGCTGATAACAGTTTTTGGTGTGTTGTGTGTGACAGTTGTGGTTGCTAGTGACATATTTTTTTGTTTGTTGTGTGTGACAGTTATTGCTGTTGGTGACAGTTTTTGGTGTGTTGTGTGTGACAGTTGTGGTTGCTAGTGACATATTTTTTTGTTTGTTGTGTGTGACAGTTATGGCTGTTGGTGACAGTTTTTGGTGTGTTGTGTGTGACAGTTGTGGTTGCTAGTGACATATTTTTTTGTTTGTTGTGTGTGACAGTTATGGCTGTTGGTGACAGTTTTTGGTGTGTTGTGTGTGACAGTTATGGCTGTTAGTGACAGTTTCTATTCTGTTTTATCAGGGATATAAGACAAATTTACACGTGTGGACTGAACAATATGTTCATGAAACAAACTCACAACTATCAGAATATGAGGCAAATGGGTTGACCATTTCACCATGGAAACTTCAGTTTCCTTGAAACAGTTATTTAACAAGTTCAAAGTCATTGAGGTCAGAGATGAAACATTTTAGAATCCTCTTATTCTTTGGCATTCCGATCATGTAAGGTACATTGCTGCAGATACCACCCGCCTCCATTCACCTCTCTGGTTAGCCTTCTCTTTTCATTTTGTGACTAAGCGTTTGTAGGATTGTCTGGATAGTATCGTTGCATCGTCTTCTTGTCTACCTCGTGTTCTATGACCATTCAGCTCCCTTGTGTATATAGTTTTTACCTCTCTGTCATCTGTCATTCTTTCAGTATGCCCCAACCATTTTACTATATAAGCCCTCATATTGCCAATGATCAGTGGTGATTTAAACAGATTATGAATATTGTTGTAATCATTCTAGAATAAATCTGAAAATTTCTTGGATGCCATAAATAATTATGATAAATATGTTGAAGGGGACTGCAACATAATGTCAGTTGATCACATTGTCAGAAAGCAGCTTAACCCTTTTGGTAACATATAGAAAAGAACAATTTTAAATATGTTTGATCAAATAAAATTTGAAAACTTTAGTGAAAGATAATTTTAAAAATGCAACAAGAAAGTATTCTTGACAGCTTTTGTCATTAAACGGAAAAACGCTGCATACATATTGATTACACACGAAAATGGATAATAGGCACTGTCACTCTTAGTAGTCGTAGCAAATTTGTGCTTCTGACAGATGGTGGCCATTTGTTTTCCATTTTTAGACTGAAAGGATATGGTTTTGTCACCCAGCTACTGAGATGAGTGAGTGGTGTGACACTGGGAGCTCCAAATTTCATTTAGAATGTTTTTCAACTGTGACCAACAGGTGGAAACTGTAGTTTCAGAAAATTATGTGTGGCCTGTTATCACAGAATTGTTGGTGCCTTATATGATTAAAATGAATTGCGTGTGCAACTGCTGATCTATTTGTATCTGCTGCTTCCGTCGACGATTAACTGCATTTCTAGTCTGGGCTATTTGTACTTACACTTCTGATGGCTGCCTTATCCTTTTAATGCGTGTGTATGGTAGTGGACATCCTGGGACTGCAGAGTGTGTCAATTTTGTTTCTACAAGAGACAGCAGTGAATTTTGTACTTTTTTTTTTTTTTTTTTTTGCACAGGAGCAGAGCAACAATGGGGTGACCTGTTTGCTATGAAGCTGAAACTAATATTACCAAGACTATTGGTTACACATGCGTTTCAAAAAGTAGTTTCCAGTTGGTAAGTTACTTAATCATAATAATATCTGCTTATTCCTTCTTGCCACTGTGGTGGAATTTTTTGTTAAACTTATCTGATATAGTACGTGTCATTTATCTTCTTTGCGTTCACCGGCTTTTACTCCAAAGGAAATTTCAGGTTGTTTGTTCAGTTCTGGTTGTAAGTCTTATTCCAGAACTTGAATTTTGCGTGCACGTCCATCTTACCGATAAAAGTTATGAAACGATTTCTAATGTATAAATACTATTCTTGACTGGACATTTACCACCACCTACAAAATAAGCTTGGAAAAGGGTTGTGTTGAGGACTTACGCTAAGCAGTGGACCAGCTACAACACCTTGATGCCTGGTATACTGTGCTGTTTCTACACAACCCACTCATTTGCTTTGATTTACTTTCAAGATTTCTTCATTACTGATTTTCTTTGTTGACGGTACTCTCGAGTCTTCTATAAAACATCTCTGCAGCTTCAACATAATTTCTCACTATAGTTCGTTCAAAATCTCTTGATTACACTTGCAAGCCATTTTCTCGAAAACTGCCTGTTAGATCGCAATGATTTTTAGTATGCAGCCTTAGAATATCCATGACGTTAAGGAAATTTTTTTCACTAAAGAAGAATATCCTATGTTGTTTTTTTTTTTTTTATTTTTTTTTATTTAAGATATATATTTTTATCATGAAACTGTCTTGGTAGACTTTTGGAAGGTTTACTTCATTACTTTCAGGAAGTAATGCACACTATGACTAGTTTTCACACTATGACTAGTTTAACAGTGGGTCAAAGAAAAACTACGTAATTTCATGATTTTCTCTTGCAAAGTTGCACACTTAGTGACCTGATGCCGAAATAAGATGCTGATCAAGGTTGTTGGTCAAAGAAACATTCAAAAATAAGTGTTGAGTTATTGCGTCCTATAGCTAGCTGGATTATATAAGCTGACACAGACATCAATTTCAAAATGAATTTGAGATGCAAATTTATAACTATGCAGAAGGTTACCGTTTTACTGTACCAGCACTTCCATCAGGGAATCTAAGATGGGCCATTTATATTGTGACATGTATCACCCAGAGAAACCAACACGATTGGCGCTTGGTCTGGATAGAGCATCATTTACCCATTGAATTAGTCAGGACACAGAGAGTACACTAAAGTTAAGCAAGCAAGGAAAAGGAAAGT